AAAAAAAAAAAAAAAAATAGAATACCGGATTCTACTCTGTTGAATGCAGATACCCTGGGGTAGAGAAGCCAGGAATCTGTTTTTAAGAAACCTCTCACTAATGGTTCTCATGATCAGCCAAGTTTCTTAGCCCAGAATAGCCCATCCATCCTGTGTCCTCCTTTCCTCCTGTGAATCTAGCGGAAATATTTATTTCTGCTTGCTTTGATACCTGTAATATATATTGCAAGACTGACCTTTCCTCATTTTTATATAAAAGCAATTACACTTCTTCGAATAAAAAAAATAAGCTTTCAAATGCATATGTTGTTTCTTCAGAGGCCACACAAACCCTTAATTGCTGTGGTTGTGTTATAGCCAATCATCATGCACACAAACTGCGGTAACAATATAAAACAGGGGAGGCAGAACTATTAAGATCTTATTCACATAAAGCCAGTGGTAAGTTACTCATTAGAAGTAAGTTGAGTGATTTCAGGGTTGCCCTTAGTCCTTCAGGTCTCCAGGGGACCCTTGTACAAATTGCTGATTCAGAAAATCATTACTCTGGTGGCTGAAGTGGCACTTTAGTGGCCTTAAAGAGTTATTTGACACACCTCCCCAAACAGCTAAGTTATCCCCGTGATTATGTTGATTAATTGCACACTCTGTGGAATTAGCGTTATTTTCAGTGAAAGATTTTCCTGCATTTGGAAAATAAAGCATAAAACTCATGTGCTTTAATTTGATAATGTGTGCACTTCTCTGAAGCATGACACTGAGTGTGAGGGGATTATTTTGGCTGTTGTCTAGGGCACGTGAAATAATCCTAAAACAGTACTTTTCATCTTGCATCTAGAAGGTAATTTTTGGTGTACCGGAGGATGGTCATTCAAAATGCCTGTCTGTTCTAACATTTTCATCCATCAAAGGACTTGAGGACTCCTTCTTGCCTTACAAATTGAGTTAAAATGATTTGAGGGGAGGGTTGTGGTACACATTGAGAAGAAGACAGGTGGAGTAATCTTTGTTAGCACAGCAGATACTGACATTATATCTAGAATACTCCAAAAAGAAGTGGAATATATCTAAAGGGGCTTTGATACTGGAATTGGAAGTTTGTGTTCTAGCTTTATCTCCTGATACCTGTATAATGTCTTCTACACATCTAAGTTGGTTGCTCTTTCTTCATTTTAGTGACACAGCTATAAAACTAGAGAGGAAAATGCCCCTCTGAGAACTTCTGAGGGTGTATTGTCTTAAGTATGTAAGTTAAATTACTTTGCATACCATACAGTGCTTTACAAATGGGAGTGCTTTAAAGAGAATTGAATATAGATTCTGAACCATAGGCAGTCCCGCAAAAGGAAGAATTTTGGTGGTGTCTCAAGATAGTCGGCGTAGCTGGAATTTTAGTCCACCCACTGGTTTGAAGGCAGCACAGTGTCTAGACGAGATGAGGTGAATCAGTGACAAAATGCAGCCAAAACTCATAATTTTCCAGGATCAGAGCTATAGATCATTACTGAGTATTCTATGTTTATGACTACAGCACATCCCTGAAAGAGAGGACTGATGCTGGTCTTTTCTGGGGACATGGATAGCTCCCAACTTCCATCATCCCTTGCTACACGCCATGTGCACAGCCACATTTCCCCCCAGTTTTCTTTCTGGTCTCAATTCAGGAAGAAGGGGAGGAAGAGAATTTTCTAGGCTGTGGAATGACTAGTTTATCTGCTGAAATTGAGTTGTAATTCTTTTAGCATAAAATTTATTAAATTGGGATTTTTTAGTGCCTATAGATGAAGACAGAGTTGTCCTGGAACAGTGAGATTTTGTAGGAGACAACCAGTGCTCTTTGAATTTGAGACATCAGCAGAATAATGTCAACTTCTGATTTCTTGCAAATGCAGGCTCGTA